ATAAATTCAAAGTAAACATCATTACATAAAAGGGTATGGTCTTTTTTTTCTTTTTTTTTTCTTTTTTTTAGTTTTATTCATTTCAAACGAGCCGGATCCGGCCTGTAGGCTGTAGTTTGCCCACGGCTGGGCTAAGGTGAAGGGGAGGAGGCAATTGACTATAAAGGCACAAAGGTTTTCTTAGGGGGGGAGTGGAACTCTTTTACATCTGTTTATGTTGTTTTCACACAGATAGATACATTTCTTAAAATTCATGAAACTGTACACTAGAAATAGTCATGGGGATATAAGGTAGGGCAAAGGAAAATAGTCAATAATATTGTAATAACTATGTATGGTATCAGATAGGTAATAGATTTATTGGAGTTATCTCTTCATAAGGCATATAAATGCCTAATCACTATGTTGCACACCTGAAACTAATATATATCAACAGTAATTGAAATAATAAATAAATTTTTTAAAAGAAGAAAAAAAGTTAATTTTTTTGTAGGACATTAAAAAACAAAAATTACCCAAAAAGTATTGGATTCTTAAAAATAAACAACACCAGCCAAGTGGCTCAGTTGCTTGGAATGTCGCCCAGTACACCAAAACGGTTGTGAGTTCAAGTCCCGGTCAGGGCACATGCCCAGGTGGTGGATTTGATCCCCAGGAGGCAACCAATCAATGTTTCTGTCCCACATCTATCTATCTATCTATCTATCTATCTATCTCTACTTCTCTACCTCTCTCTCTCTCTCTCTCTCTCTCTCTCTCTCTCTCTCTCTCTCTCACTCTCTCTCATCAGTAGACATACCCGCAGATGAGGATTTTAAAAGAAATTTTAAAAATACTAGTAAACAAACAGATTCTAAGGTTTATATAGAATATATACAAAAATTAGCCAGAAAAAAATGTTTTTAAATCTCAAAGATACGTTAAAAACAATCAAGGCACATACAGTGTGTCCAGCAGGCCACCATCGTGATGCAGGGAGTATCTCCAGAGACGACACAAGACACAGGCAGCAGGGCTGCCTCCAGAAAGGAAACAGACTGGGGACCCAAGAGGGAGAGCGTCTCACAGTCCACCCCTTAGTGCCTATTGGACTGCGAACCAACTGCATCTTAAAGGAAACGGAAATGGTTTTTCACAGAAGAGCCTTGAGCTCCTGAGAGTGAGGACCGAAGAGAGAGGGGAGAACGGGAGCTGAGGCCACAGAATGGGGGGGGCGTCGGGCAGGAAGAGCGCATGGGAAGGAAGGGAAACTGTAACCTGGTGCCCGGGGCAGGCGGGGCAGATGGCGCTTAGCAGAAGCCCCTGCAGGGGAGAGGCAGGAAGGGGGGGGGGCACCTGAGGCGGAGGTGTGCGGGGCAGGAGGGTCTGCAGGTCACCTCAGAGAGGCCAGTGGACATGAGGACAGAAAAGACACTCGCCATTCAGGGTCACAGATGCCATGTGCCGGAGTACGGTCTGTACCGCGATGGGCAGAAGCCAGATGTCAGAGCGGGAAGTCAGGACCTGGGGGAGAGGGAGCCAAAAGCAGCAGGAAAGCCCTTTGAAGACATTTGGTGAAGGGAAGGGGAGTCGGCGGGAGACAGGGCAGAGAGCAGGAAGCGGGGAGGTTACGTTTATTGGTGTAAATCTTAGTCCTTGACGGTTTCTAAGATGTGGGTGTCAGCAGCAGGTTTACATTCAAAGGAAGGGGAGACGGTGAAGGTCCTGGAGGGAATGAGTGATTGACACGAGCCCCAGGTCGGTGACGTGGAAGAACCTCTGAGGCCCAGACAGAGGCCCACTCCCGGAGAGGCCCCCCCAACCCCAGGGAGACGGGGCCTTCGCGGGGATTTGGACAAGGACTGGGGCACGGGAGGGAGTTCCGGCCTGGCAGCTGTGGTTTTCTCTGGGAAGAAGGAGGTAGCTATCTGGTGAGAGTGGAGCGCAGAGGAACCGAGCGTAAGGGAAAGAAATGTAACAGGAGGACACCGCTGCCCTTGGTTCCAGAGCCGACTTGGAGACAAGCAAATAGATGGCCAGGCAGTGAGAGGACGCAGCGGCAGAGAGCAGCTTAAAAAAGATCCCCTCGCTCCCTCTCCTTCCATCAACAAATGTTTGGGGAGCCAGGTGTGGTGGGCAACCGCCAAGATAGTCACCTCCTCTTGAGTTTTAACTAGATTATTATTATTTTTTTATTTTTATTTTGCAGAATGACACTCTTTTAGTGAGTGAATGAGTGAGTTGTTGATCCTCACCTGAGGATATTTTTTCATTTTTAGAGAGGATGGGCAGGAGGGGTGGAGACAGAGAGAGAAAAACATCAGTGTGAGAGAGACACATTGATGGGTTGCCTCCAATGGGCCCTGACCAAGCCCGCAACCAAGGTACATGCCCTTGACTGGAATCGAACCTGGGACCCTTCAGTCCACAGCTATGCTCTCCCACAGCCAAAGCAGCTAGGGCTCAGCTGAACTTTTCTTTTTTTTTTTTTAATATTATTGATTTCAGAGAGGAAGAGAGAGGAAGAGAGAGACTCCTGGTTCTTAGGTCAACGCTCAACCACTGAGTCTTACGGGCTGGGCTCAGCTGAACTTTTTGACTCACTTCAAAGAAATTGCAGAAGTTATGAGCTGTAACTTCTGAGATTAGTGTATGAAAAGACTGTGACTTCTGCCTGGGTGCCTGCTCTCTCTTCTCTCTCAATCTTTATCCACCCACCCCTAAGGGAAACCATCTGCCATGGTGTGGGCTGCTCCTGTGGAGGTCCGTGTGACAAGCTAGGGGAAGCCTCTAGCCACCAGCCAGTGAGGACCCAGGCCTCGGTGCAACAACCTTGAAGTGAGCTTGGAGGTGGCTTTTTCCCAGTCCAGCCTTCAGATGAGACAACAGCTCTGGTGTGACAACCTAACTCCCATCCCATGAGCAACCCTAAGGCAGAGGCACCCAGCTGGGGCACGCCCAGTTTCCTGATGCTTAGAAGCTGCAAGATAATGAATCTTGTTACTTTTAGCTGCTGCTTTCAGGGGGAATTTGTTATGAAGCAATAAATACAAAAGCACAGAGCAGTGAACAAGCTAGGCAGCATCCTTGCTGTCATGGAGCCGACATTCCAGAAGAAAGGACAGATGAGAAGCACGTGGAAAATGGGAATGCAGACGTGAGAACGGTCAACGATGTGGCAGGGCGTCACGTGGGGATGTGGAAGGGCACTCGGGGAGGCCTCTGAAGAGGCGGCATTGGAGCTGAGATGACGATCATGGGCTGTCAGCTGAGCTCTTGGGGAAGAGCACACCAGGCTGAAGGAACGGAGTGCAAAGGCCCGGAGGCAGGGGCAGTTCTGTGTGGTTCTTGGAGAAGAAAGACAGCCGGTATGGCTATAGCACAGCGGCTGAGGTGTGCTAGGGGCAGGGGCCTGGCCGAGAAAAATGCTAATTATCTCGCTAGAAAAGCAGTGTGTTATGATTAAACCCAGCCAGGTGTGACCCTGCTCCTAAATTTTATGTAAACTTTTTACCCTGCCAGTACCAGGAACGGCTAATGAACCGCTTTGCAGTTTGTTTTTCTTTTTAAATACTCTGTAGTGTTGCAGATAAAAGGCTTTGCTGTACCCTCGGTCGGCACTGCAGTACGAAGTTCCCTACAGGAGGGACGTGCTGTAGTCAGCTGGCCAGCTTAATAAAGGCTCTTAAATTAAAAATCTGGGTCGGTGGTCTGTCTCGCTGAGTGAACCCATAACAGAGGGAGAAGGGATGGGAGAGAAGCTGGAGAGGTGGGCAGGGGCCTCACCAAGGCACTTCCTCTAAGGACAGTGTGTGGATATCACCTTACAAAGATGAGCGGCTATCGCAGGACTTTTATGGCATAAAACTTAAGGATATCTTTAAGATGAGCCACCTCATGTTCTGGAAATATTCCATTTCGCCCAGTCTCTCTCTCTCTCTCTCTTTCTCTCTATCTCTCTCTCTCTCTCAACCTTCTACACCTAGACTTCTAAGTCATGCTCCAGACTATGAGCGGTGCCCAGTCCAGTGCTGCCCCTGCCTCCAGCCTCTGCTGCCCATCTCCCCTCTATACCAAGCGCAGCCTACCTCTGAGGGCCTTTGGGAACCTCTGGGGCGGCTGCCGCAGGTTGGATCCAAACAGGAAGCAGAAGCCATTCACATAGGTGTTCTCCTTGCACGTTTGGTGTAGGGTGGGGCCGCAGGCCTGGAAGGCAGGGTGCAGGTAGGAGGGGCTGTCCCCTGCTTCCTGTCCTTTTACCCCAACATCTCCATCCTCTGCAAGACGCCAGCCGCAACAGTCCCAGGTCTCCACGCCTCCCCTCAGACACTCCCGTGACCCAGGGGCGACTCACCAGCAGCCGGAAAGGGTTGGTGGCAAATGCCAGAGACAGACCCAGGGACATGTTCACGGCCTCCGGGGGCACTGAGAGGACAGGCATGTGCATGGTCACATTCAGGAGAGGAAAGGGCCTGAGGAGAAGCTGGACAGGGGTCACCTCGACCCGAGACACAGGCTGGCAGGTCAAGGGGGCACCGGGTAGTGGGAAAAGAATATGAAAGGAGTGCCTGAGGGTGCCTGGGCGGGGAGAGGGTGGGAGCTGACCCGCGAGGGGCCCCAAACACAGACCCTCCCCACAGAACAAAGGGAGAGAAGGGAATGCCTGGCAAGGGCAGGGATATGCACAGCAGGGCCCCGGGGTTTAGGGAGGGGCGGGGGCTCACCCTGCAGCTGGATGGGCTCACAGGCTGATGTGCTGTAGTCACACTGGTAGAGCCCTCCCGTCTGATTGGCGGTCTTTATCTCCTGGGGGGCTCCCACCACCACCCTGTGGGGAGAGTTGGGCACAGGTTGCCACAGGAACCCGAGGAAATGGACATGTGGAGAGAGAAGGAGGCCAGGGAAGAAGTCCTGCCCCCGGGGGAAGAGTGGGAGCCAATCCACACAGGTTCTGCAATTCCTAGGGCCAGGATGCTCAACAAAGAAAAAGTGGGAACATTTTAAATCTCAGCGTGGGAAGGACACACACCAAATAGGTTATTTAAAAATGGTTCAATTCGCTCTTCTCGTGGCACCCAGAGGTGGCGGCTGCTCAGCACGAAGCTGGGCATCTGTTTCCCAGTAACCGGCTGCCAGAATTCTCCTCGCTGACCTGGGTGATGGCCGCAAACTTCTGCCTTTTGTGAGAAGCGTTTGGCCACCGGAGCTGGACGGGTTATGTGGTCGGAGTCAGTGGTGGGAACTACAAACAAGGTTCCCCGTGAAGCAGGGTGTCTTGCCGTGGCCAAGTGGCCCGCTGCCCTGTGAGAGGCGTTCCTGCTATAGACCAAGGAGGATGGAGAGAGAAAGTCACCACCTTTTGGGGCTGCATTGTGGGCGCCATGTTCCCAACCTGGCCGTTGTACAAGAAGGGGAGAAAGATATTCCTGGTCTCATTGATGCTGCCGTGCCTCATGCCCGGGCCCCGAAAGAGCTAGCAGAACCCACAAACGTTTCCATCTCTAGAGCAGATGCTGTCCAGCAGTGCGCTATCATGGAGCCGGCATTACCTTACAAGACAAATACCATATGATTTCACTTACGAGGAGACAGCCCTCCACAGAGAAGCTAAGAACTAGGACCAAAGCACCCACGAGTCAGCATCTTGTTACCCACGTGCCTGCCACGCAGCCCGGGACACAGACGTGGGCGTATTGCTCTGAAGAAACAGCGCCCTAAAGAAAATAACCAAGAGGCCGCTGAATATGCTAAAGTTTTAGCCAAGAGGAGGGAGGCCACAGGAAAACGTAAAACAGATTGCCAAGAGGCCTACGCTGTGCTCCCTGAGAGCTCCTACCTCTAAGTCTGAGCTCAGTCAAAAATGAGGTTTTTCTTGCCCTGGGGTGAAGAAGGTTGCATTGAGTAAAGACTTCTTTAGTTAAAAACTAAGCATGAGCCCAGCCGGTGTGACTATTGGCTGAACGTTGTCCTATGCACTGAAAGGTTATGGATTTGATTCCCAGTTGGGGCACATACAGAAGGCAAAAATGGATGCTTCTCACCTCAATGCTTCTCTCTCTATCTCTCTTTCTCTCTCTTACCCACCCCCCCTAAAATCCACAAGCAGCCCTAGCCAGTTTGGCTTAGTAGATAGAGCATCGGCCTGTGGACTGGAGGGTCCCAGGTTTGATTCTAATCAAGGGCACAGGCCCAGGTTGCAGGCTCAATCCCCAGTGTGGGGCGTGGCATGCAGGAGGCAGCCGATCAATGTTTCTATTTCCATTTCCCTCTCCTTCCCTCTCTCTATAAAATCAATAAAAACATATTTTTTTAAAGATCATTTAACAACAAAATAGCATAGTACTGGCATAACAACAGACATAGATCAATGGAACAACATAGAAAG